GAGAAGAAGAAGATACTTCTTCAACAAGCCAGATTTGCCTGGCTTCAAGAAATGCAACAGCTGTCACAAACCAATGCCTGTGTCAGATGGGCATTCTTCGTGAAATAGGTGCCTGGGAGAGGTACACGTCCCGTCAAAATGCGAGGACACGTGGAGACAGAGAGATACATGCTCCTGTTCGATAAGGCGCTCCAAACATCTGACTCTAGGGCTTCCACCTCTCGTTCAGACCCTCCCAAGGCCAAAAACTGGTGGGCCAGCTCCCTGGTTCCAGGCATGTCCGCCAAAAAGAGAGCTTCGCCGACACACTTCTTTTCATTGACCCATGTCAGTACCAGAGGTTAGCCAGGAACATCTGGCACTGCAAGCTCCAGTTCCATGAGTGCTGCAGAACCTAAGTCCCAGCACAGAATGTCACCAGCACTGGCGCCAGTGGGACTGCAAACCAGGGAAACAATCTACTATTCCAGCACTGCCAGTGCCTGAAAAACCCTTGGCACCAACCAAAGCCCATGCTAAAACAAGTAAGAGCCTTTCCACGGCTTTCAGCCCCAAACCAATACTCTCATCACCAGCATCGATATCGCCATCATCGGCACCATGCTCACTGGCACCGATGGAGAATCTTTCAGGGCACACCTCGCAAGCTCCTGGAACACATCAGCTTCACTGCATGCTTCAGTGCCACAACCCAGATCATCTCGCTGTACCTCAGGTAGGCAGCTTTCTTCTTTGTCTCCTCATTCATGAGCTCAGTCAGGTCTCCTAGATCTCCTGTGTTATCGGTACGCAGTGACTTCCACGATGACCATAGGAGCGTCTCTTCATCACAACACTCCTCACCCACAAGGTCTTACTATGACTGCAATAGACGTAGACAGCCCTGTGACCGCCCACCTCTTTGGATGGCACAGTGGCATTACCCACCACCTTATCCCAGGCATAGGTCACCATGCTGTCACTGTTTGCTTTCCAGACACCGATCTACCGTTTCTTCTGCACCGGCTACTAGGCATTGTCTTCCATCACCCCGTGCCCATACCCCACCTCCTCCTGAACAACCTTAGACAGAGAACATAGGAACAAGATAAGGAAAGTAAATGCATGGACTTATTTGGTAGGAAGATGTACTTTTCCTCAATTCTTCAACTTTGTATTGCGAATTACTCAGCCCTTCTAGCCAATCATTACTTTGACAATTACTTTAAGGTCACGGGGCCCATGGAATATCTGCTGGACAATAAAAGACCTATTCTAAAGTTCATAGTGCAGGAGGATTATACTATTGCCTTACAAATGGCCTTGATGTTGCAGATACTGCGGCTCGCTCTACCACAATGACCATAGTTATGCAGGGAGCTTCTTGGCTCCAAGCTCCTGCAATCCCGAAGAAGTTACAGAACAAAATGGAAAACCTTCCCTTTGATAAGGAGAAACTATTTGCAGCAAAGACAGATGAGGTCCTCCATACAAGTAAGAACTCTTGAACCACATTACGTACTCTAGGCATGTACATGCTACCTTACCACCACAGATATTACACACCATACCAATGGCACCACGACTTCTCCTACTCTCAGAACCAGCAGAGAGGATTTGAACAGTCTTCCTCTAGACCACAAGTTCAGAGGAAGTGGCTACAAAATAACTGCTCCTCTAACTAACAGGCCAATAAGCAGTAAATGTGAGATATTGGTCGAGGGTCTGCTGACCTCTCCTTTACACATGCACACTATGAACATGTCCCCATTTTTCACCATCGCTTGCACCCATTTTATTACCAATGAGCTGCCATCACCTTGGACGATTGGGTTCTTGAGATTATGGCTATACCATCTCCTTTACTTCTCTTCCCCCAACCTCCTCACCTTCCCATCCCTCTTCAGGTATCCCTCTTGTGAGAAGCTGCTAAGACAGGGAGGTTTACCGGCTCCTCACCATTGGAGCGGTAGAGAGGATACCAGACCAGTTCAAAGGCAAAGGCTTCTACTCCAAATATTTTCTCATGGAAAAAAGAATGGGGGGCTGGAGACCCATCCTCAATCTTCGCAAGCTCAATGAATATTTACGCAAGCAGCGGTTCAAAATGGTTACCCTGGTTTCTATAATTCCAGTGTTGGATGAGAGAGACTGGGAGTCACTCAGACTCATTATCAATGAGCAAACGTCCATATTTCCGCCAATGTAGACTCTGGACTTGAGGCACCCGACTAGACCCCAATACTGCCTGCACCTACTTACTTATGCAAAGATTACAGTCCATACAGGATCTTGTTGCACTGCTTTCCATGAGCCCTATTGTACCGGTACTTACCTGCCTACAACTTATGGGTCATGTGGCAGAAACAACCTGCATTGTGTACCATGCCCACCTGCACCTTAGTTTCCTTCAGCATTGGCTGACATCGGTATATGTCCCTTCCAAACATATTCACAAACATGTCTCTCTTCCGCCTAATGTGGTTGCTTCCCTCAAATGGTGGACCAACCCAGACATCTCCTGGCAGGAGTCCCATTCCACCACGATCAACTGTCCCTATCACAACAGATACCTCTGTACTTGGATGGGATGCCCACTTAGATGGACATTTTGCTCAGGGTCAATGGTATGACCATGAAACAGTTCTCCATATCAGCCTTTTGGAATTACAAGTGGTGGCAATGCTTACAAGCACTTCCGTGCGCACATTTACAATCGCACCATCAGAATACTTACTGACAGCATGACGAAAATGCAGTATGTCAATTGTCGGGGAGGGGGGGCGCTCCTGTTCTCTGTGCGGAAGCGATTTGGCTATGGAATTGGTGCATCTACAACAATGTAAGCATAATTGCATTTTACCTACCCGGCATCAACAGTACTACAGTGAACACTGAGCAGGCACTTCACCACAGACCACTAGTGGGAGATTCATCACCAAGTGCTCCATTCCATCTTCTGTTGATGGGGATTTCCCCATATAGATCTATTCACCTCCCACGACAACACCAAATGCCCTCAGTATTGTTTCAGAGCAGGTGTGGGATGTGGATCTTTAAGAGATGTCTTCCTGGTCAACTGGAATGGCCTGCCAATCCCCCTCATCCCAAGGGTCCTCGAGAAGGTCAGCAGAGAGGGGGTTCAAATAAACCCTCCGCCGTTTTGCAAGGAGGTAAAGCCTGCAAGCGGCGGCGGCAGAGAGGGGGCGAGGGGCAGGCAGGCAGCTGCTTCAAGAAGTTGTTAGTCAATTACACTACCGCAGTTTATCTTTCTTCCACTGCGGTTCCCCACTGACCTGCGAATCCAGCCGGCGACAGTGTAATTGACTAACAACTTCTCACCCTCCCTGCCTCTCGCCTCCTCCCTGCCCCCACCGCTTGCAGGCTTCGCCTCCCTGCAAAACGGCGGAGGGTTCGGCCCTCGTCGCGCCGTTCCTCGCCAAGCCCCTGCCCTCCCGCCCCCGCTGGAGGCAGTGTAGGTCCTGGCAGATCTGTCACAGCCCCCCTGCCAAAGTACCTCCCGATAGTCCGGCATATCCGATAATCCGGCACCACCTGGGTCCCAAAGGTGCTGGATTATTGGAAGTCTACTATATATAGACAGAACCCGATCCTTCCGTACATCATATTGCCTATTTGTTTCAATAGTGAAATGCTCCAAGGGGAACCAATTTCATCACAACGCATATCAAGAATTATATCCCGCATCACTCAATGTTACTCCATACAGAACGTTTCCTGTTCTACCAAGAGTGCACTCCACGAGAGCAGTGTCAACATCCACAGGCTTTCTCTAGGGTATCCCCATCCAGGACATTTGCTGTGCTGCTACATGGTCATCAAATTATACTTTTATATGAAGAATTACACCATACTTTACCATCTTGACAATGATACTCAGTAGCCACTGCAGTATTATCAACCACTGCTAAATGGTGACTCCAAAATCCACCTACCTTGCATTTTGATCAGTTACAAAGTCACCCGCAGTTGAGCAGCCACAGGAACATCACTTGAAGAAAAAAGGGAATTACTCACTTGTGCAGTAATGACAGTTCTATTCGAGATGTGTCCCCCCATGGGTGCTCCACTACGTACCCTCCTCCCCTCTTTCTTGGAGTTTCTGTTTCTCTCCTTTTTTTCAGATACTCGGGTATATATGAGGAACTGAGGAGAGTCAGGCCATGCATGCAAAGTGCAGGGCGCAAACAGCATGAGGCGGCTAGTGCATGTGTCCAGCCCAGTTGGCTACTGCTAGGGATCTGTGGCACCAGGATGCTCCAACACCTATAGTGGAGCACCCATGAGGACATATATCTCGAAGAACTGTGGTGACTGCACAAGATGAGTGACTTCCCTATTCAGATTTATCATCCAATTTCTCTTGATATATAAAAAAACTTTTCCTGTAGGATCACAGAGTGACATCATCAAGTCACTCTGCATCTCCAGGAGCCCCAACCACATGACCACTCCATTCCAATGCACTCCCTGGATCAGAGTCTATCTGCCTCTGGGCCCTGCTCCTAGTCTGCCTGGCCCACGCATCTACCACGTGGCTTGGATGTGTGCAGCCCGGCCACAGCATTTGGGGGCTATGCTGCAGGTTTTCCACCAGCTCCGGTATGTGCTGGTGACCTGGGCCAGCATGCTCTCCCAGGAGCTCTTATCTCCGCACGCCGCCTGAAGCAGCATCTGCCTGCCTCTGGGCCCTGCCCCCAACCTGCGCAGTCCATGCACCTGCCGCGCAATTTCGATCTGTGTGGCCAGGCTCATGCGTGCTCTCCCGGATCTGCCGCAAGTTGGGCAGGTCTTACTCCCTGGCCACTTCCCCAGTGCTCTGGAGCAGTCGCTCTTCATTCAGGGCTCCCTTGGGTCACTGCGGAGCAAAGCTCCCCCAACAGGCCCATGTGGAAAGGCTGGGTTGGCAGCAGGCTGTGGCTTCTGCTGCGGTGGCCAGAGCTGTGCTGCCCTGGTGGTACGCTTGGGGGAGAGGGGTGCGCAGCTCAATGAATTTGTGGGAGGGGGCAGGGTGTGTGGAGGGAGGAATGGGGATAGGGTATATGTGGGGATAGGCGGTACAGTAAGGGGGGATGGTAGGGATGAGGGGGTATAGGAATGGAGATGAGGACAGGCAGTGTGGGGATGGGGAGGGTTAGGGAAGGATGGGGGTGAAGGAATGGAGGAAGGAGTTGGGGTAGGGATAGGCAGTGCCAGGGCAACGGGGGAAGAACTGGGTTTATGAGTGTAGTGAGCAAGGTGCACTGCCCCCTAGTAATGTTTAAAACAAAGCAATATACAGAGATTGAATATGCATGATTGTCACATATAGGTGTATGTGTTTCTTTATCACTGAACCCTGTATAGCCATGCATGATTAATTTGGAGTTAGAGCACTACATTCCAGTCTGTTATGCTGATGTTAATCCAGAGTAAATCAGATGACTAGTGGATTACATTAGTGTCACTGAGAACAGATATTAGCTCAGTATTTCTAGGTCTTTGTCTGCACTAATGAGATAAGTCAATCTAAATTACTCTTGTTACATTATACAAATTACTCTTGTTACATTATACAAGTTATATAGCTAAAATGGAAGTATCTTAGATTGACATACAGCGGTGTCTAAACCACGCTATTTTAGCAGGAAGCATTCTCCCATCAGCATATCTGTGTCATCACCAGACTCACTAAATCAACATGGCTGCATCAATTGCAGAAGCACTGGTTTAGCCCATAGTGAAGGCTAGCCCTAGGTCCTGCAAATGATCATCTGTTCATTGTAGATTTGTGTAAGAAAATGATGAAAGTATTATAAATCTGATATTTAGAGAAAATAAAAAACTTAGTGCATTGTACTTATCATACATTTGAGTTTTCCATACAACCATTCAATCTTCAAGATAAAATCTACTGAATCAGGCCACTTTGAAAACTAATATGCAAATTCCACAATGGTGTGTAAATAAAACTTTTTCAATAAATCCATAAAAATAAAGTCATGCCTTCAAAACCACTCATTAACTTTGTATTCATTTTTTATTCATTAATTTTTGAACAGGAAAGAACTTACTGCTGATGCTCGTGAATTGAAGGGAGAATTATATTGTTTACCATGCCATGATAAAATGGGGGTCCCCATTTGTGGAGCATGTAGGAGACCAATTGAAGGACGAGTGGTGAATGCTATGGGGAAACAGTGGCATGTAGAGGTAAATGTCAATGCATATATTGTGTTTTATAAATATTGGCATAAATATACTACTTCTGGAATTTTGTGGATCAGTTTCAATAGAAAAGATGAGAAAATTCTACAGAAATGGTAAAGTTGTATAACATGTCCTCAGTTGTAATCAGTTTATTTCATTGTGAAAAATTCTGCACTTTGAGAGGATTCCCTGTGTTTCAGATGAAGTGTAGAACTCAAAATATCTCTTCAACAGAAACTTAAGTGAATATATACACAAGTTCACTTTCACTAAAAATATGGTTTAGCTGCCACACATTTCCTCTGTTGTCTTGGACAAATTATTTACTCTCTCTCTGTGTCTGTATCTTCTCCATCTATAAAATGGGGATTATAATAGCATTGCCTAGTTTACAGAGTGTGTGTGAAGTTAACTGTTCAAAAATGTGCTTTGAGATCATTGGCTAGAAAGCGCTATAGGAGTGGTAAGTTTTATACAGAAATGTAGTAATATTTGGCATAAAAGACTATTAATTACAAACTGGAAATTGTTTTGAAATAAATAGGATTTAATTCAATAAGGACAAATGCAAAGTGCTACCATAGGAAGGAGTAATCAATTGTACAATTATGAAGTGGGAAATGACTCCGTTCTGCAGGAGTACTGCGGACTCAAACTAAATATGAGTCGTCACGGTAATACTGCTGCAAAAAAGCAAAACAGTATTTTGGAATGTG